ACACGTGTTTTTAAACAATTCATACTGAGACTAGTCTACATTAAAAACAGTTTACAAGGCAGAGTGCTTCTCACCATTCATGCTATGTGTTTACAGAACAGACTGCCATAGTTTAATGTCACTCTCTGTCTTTCCTTCAGTACAGTGCTACTGTGTCCCCAATCAACCCTACAAGATAAATTTGCAGCTATAAACAAAAATGTCACTTTTTTCCTATGTCAACAATTTCTATCGATAACATCATATTTTATGCATTCATTCCTAGATTACTGTGGGAGCCTAAAGTACTATATTTAAACCTTGTGTGATGTGCAGAAGAAAAATAAAAATTGGCTTTTAAGGTTTAGAGAAACTGTTTTGTAACAGACCTGGGCTTCTATTTTCACATTTTCTTTTAAATTTATTTAAACTTGGAGAATTTCAAATTCAATCAAATGATTTTTTTTTCATTTTTTGATTCAAAATTTTCAGGCTCATATTTATGTAAAGATGAGCAATTCTGAGAACTAGAGCACTCTATCTCCATTTAAAATGCTACAAATTGAAAATGGAAGGAAAAGCATATCAACCGAAGATCAATCCAACAAATTCAGCTCCCATAAAGGCTAAATCACATATCCAAAGCTGGAGGATAAATCATTAGAGTCTGCCGGTTGTACAAGATCAGTAGGAAGCCATCTGGCTTATTCRGCTTATATGAATGTAATGTGTGTATTCCAAGTTTTTGATATTTCCACAGCTCATAAGTAATGAGGCTGCTGGCACCAAGGTTGCATTGTACCCTAATTTCTGGGGGATATTTTATTTGATTTTTGTTTGTTTTCTATAGCAAATCAAAGTATGAATGCCTCTTCAAAAACAAATTTCACTAAATTGGAAAGATTATGGTCTCCAATGTTTAAGTATAGCAAGTGCTATATTTATCTCTTTACCCCATTGAATGTTTGTGTTCCCACCCCCCCCCATCCATTTTGGAGATGGTGGGGGATGGAGACCACAATTATCCCTGCCTAATTTTCCTCCCCCAACTTCCTTTCCTCCTTTCAAATTTGTTGCAGCAGGAAGTTCTTTAAGGGAAGGTACTCTGACCTTCCCCAAACTGACTGGAAGAAGGAACTGACACTGGTCACTGTGGGGAAGAGAAAGCATCATCACTGTCACCTATCTCTCCCTTCCCACACCTGATTTCTGGTTGCCCCACTGCACCCCATCTCATCCCATGACTCTCCTAACCTCAGAGTCAAAAGCCAGGGCTCAAAGTGCTGGCTGGTCCTTCCCTTGAAACAATGGAGTTTTAAAAACTAAACAGATACATTTTTTAAAAAGCTGAAATTTAAAAAAGAAAAGTATGGGCGTGACCTTTAAACTATTTTATAAATTCTCCCCATTCATCCTCCCTCTTTTTCTCAAATACGCGGCGAGGCAATAGGTACTCCAGAACAATGGCTCTCTAACTTTAGCTGCTTTAGGATCACCTGGAGGACTTGCTAAGGCACAGATTGCTGGGCCCCATGTCCAGACTCATTCAGTAAGTCTGGGACAAGACCTTAAAACCTGCATTTATAACAAATTCCCAGGGGATGCTGATGCTGCAGGTCCAGGGACCCTCTAAGAACTACCAGCCTAGACACAGAACAATTGCTAAAGAGAGGAAACCCAGAAGCCGCGATTCCAAGGAAGCTCACCTCCAGCTCTAACACAGGGAGGCAGCAGGAGGGGTGTTGATACAGGAAGGCACAGTATCAAGAAAAGGAAAGTGAAATTATGAACATAAATATGATCTTCCAGCCAATCAGCTCTTGAGACTTTCATTTGCCTGCTGGCTTATATTTCTCTCTCAAACTGCCCCTGGTGCCCTGCAATGGGCACTTGAAACAAACATATTTGGGTYTAAGTCTTATTCGCAGTATGTCCAACTGGGTCAGTCAGCTCTCTTTTGCTGGAATAAATGCCTGAGACTGATCAATTTATAAACAAGGCTTATTTTGGCTCACAGTTTTGGAGGTTCCATTCATGACTGACTGGCCCCATTGCTTTGGGCCTGTGGCAGTACAGTGTGTCATGGCCGGAGGCTGTAGGAAGCCCCTTCACTTTCTGGCCAGGCGTGAAAGTGAGAAAGAGACCAGCAATCCATAATCTCTTTTGAGTGCATGCTCCTGATCACCTAAAACCTTCCTACTGGATCCCACCTCTTAAAGACTGCAACCACCTCCCAATCACATCAAGCTGAAGACCACGCCTTTAACACATGGGCTTTTGGGGAACATCCCAGATCCAAACGTTATCACTTCATTTCAAACAACAGAACCCACCAACGGTGTTGTTATGTGGATTAAATTTCATTTTGCATGTACGATGACTGGCGCCTATATAGCAGATGTTAGCTTTTACCATGCATACCCATACCTTTTGACATTCCCATGAGAATATTCAATATGTTTAGCATCACACTGCCTACTTGACACTATAGGCCCAGTCATTAATTCAGTTAATAATTATCAAGTAGCTGCTCCACAGCTAGTGTATAATACTGTCCAAATATATTGAAATTATGTTCTATAAATAAAAATGTTGATATAAACATTTTGATTTAGAAAACTTTTGATTTTATGCCAACTTACATTTAAGATAACTATCTGACTCCAAAATTGGCTAACTAAGGAAATTGAGAGGATGTGTTTACTAACCACAAATTTTGTTTGGACAGACACTAAAAATAACAGAATGGGAGAAAAAAAAAAAACAGAGAAAGGAATTCTGCAAACACCTTAGTCTGATATTATTTAGGGCATATTTTAGACAATACTAGAGATCACATATCCACTTTTCCCAAAAATCATTATTTTATTTATGTGACCAAACAACGAGGAACAAACATGGGCAAGGTATCCTATTTTGAGTACACAATGATGTCATTTTTAATTTATCACGATGTCAGTCAGAAGCTTAATGATCAGTTAGGAACAAACAGGAGCAGTGTTCTTTATGAGTTCTTCCTAGACCCTGGGGTTAAGTTACCCTGCTACCAACTAAACACCCAAATTCATCAGGCCTCATTTTTTTGAAATGTATATAGCAAGAAGGTGAGTGTGACATTCATTGAAGTTTCTTGATCTTATCCTTTATGGTGCCTTTGCTCCTTCCTTCTCCTATGTCTTCTTTTCTCCAGGAAATTTATAAGGACCACAGAATTTTAGGAGCTGGGTAGAGGCTTTAGAGAAATCCAGACAAACTCCTAAGACCAGGAAGTTTGAGTTCCCTGCCCAAAGTCAACTGTTCTTGGGGACAGTAGGCACAGACATCTTCCCTTCCCATTCAGCACACCTTCCCCTCTACCCTGAATTTGGCTGAACCTGGATAAACTTCTGCAAAAAAAAAAAAAAATATATATATATATATATATAATTATCATATGTTATAAAAAAGACTCTGAGCTTCAACAACACTTGTCTCCCAATGCTAGTCAACAATGATTGTTGTTGATGGGAAAAATGAAGTTACCTTGGAGCTCAGGAAACAATCAGACTAAAAAAAAAAAAGAAAGAAAGAAAGAAAGAAAAGAAAAAAATTAAAGGAGAAGAAAGTTTGAAAGAAAAGACTTTCAGAAAAGACTATTTTAAATCTGTAAAATCAGGTACTTTGTATTTTGTTTTAGAAATCTAACTTGGACAATACTTTCCCTTAATTTTCCATAAAGCATCATGCAAAACCATAGTGCACCAAAGTTTTTGCTGAAATGAAAATATAAGTTTTAAAATCGGAGCTTCTCTATGTGGGAAAAAAATTCTGTTTCTATTCACTTTGCTGCTGTTTGGTTTGTTTGTTTTTTTTCCTTCAAAAGGTCTGCTTATCTAGACCTGTGGCTTCTGTGATGAGTGGATATTTGGGGTAAATGTGGCAGCTTCCAATGGTGGTTTGACCCATTCTGTTTGCAGCGCTTCTTCCATGGCATTGTCTCCGCATCCCCCTCCTGCAGATGCCTGATGTTTGCCGGTTGGCTCAGGTTATCACCTCAAGAAGCTGGAGCTCTCCCAGCCTCTCCCCCAACCTCCTCACGACCTCTTCTGGCCGAAGATTTGCAAAGGGTTTGCATCTTCCGTGGCCCTGGCGCGCGAGCCAACATCTTCCCCAGGACCTGGGCGTGCGGTCCTCAGACCTGGCACCCCTGGTTCGGCAGTCCCGGACAGGGAGGCGCGTGGCCACGCCTTCTCGCTGGACCGGTTCTGTTCTCTAACCTCTTCCTACGCTACAGGCAGGCGGCCTCGCTCGCAACTAACCAACCACAAACCAAGGGAAAATAAAGTTCTCACTSGAGACGCACCCAGCGTCTAGGACTGCCAGATCGCAGGAGAGTCTGCTAGTTAGGCTGACCAGCACCTTGGGATAACCCCCAGATCCCCGGGAACAACGCGCTTTCCGCGTCACGATTGCTGCAGMCGGTGGGGTGACAGGAGATGCCAAGGGACAAGCCAGGGACAGCGCGAAGCCACATGGGCCGGAGGGCAGGAGGGGGACCCGGGGGGCTAAATTCGTGGAACTGACTTGAGGGGCTGCACCACCTGCACGCCCCAGAGCTCGGGACCCGACGGGATTATAGTCACTAACGATGTCCTGTAAGGGACTGTTCCCGTCCTTTCCCTCTCCCAGCCGGCCGAGGAATCTGAATATACCCACGCTCACAATCACAAACACATAGGCGTCCACTCCGCCCCAGCTGGGGTCGCGGGGCCGGGACAGGTATGTGGTACCCCAGGGCAGGAATGCCCAGCCCAGCCCTGCAACCCAGAGGTACCCCGTCACGCTGCCGACAGCCAGACGCGCGGGAGGAAGACGACGCTCCCGAGCGGCTGCACCGATGGATGCTCGCAGGCGTCACACCTGGGGAGCCTCGCAGCGGCGGCGGGCAGTGGCAGCATTAGAAGTCCCTGGCGCGCCCCCTCTTTTCCTGGGCACAACTTTGCGCAGCCGGCTCCGCCCTCGCGCCCGCCGCCGTTCCTTACCCAAATACTGCCGCAGGTCAAGCAGGAAGCGAGGGGGTCCCCCGCTGAGCTGGTAGAAGAGGGAGCCCAGACAGAAGACCAGCAGGGTGGCCATGCAGAAACCGTAGTCCCGGAGGGAGAAGCGCAGGAAAGGTAGTAGGGAGACCCGGCGCTTCCAGCCGCCCAGGCCCGCAGGGGCGCCCCCCACAGGGGCCCCATGGGGCCAGGGATCCGCGCCGCCGCCGGGATGCTGCTGCTGCTTCTTCATCGCCTGCTCCGCCGCCTCGCACAGCCGGCCCGGGCCAGGAAAAGGTCACCCATCCGCCGCGAGGAGGAGAGCGCGGCCGGCCGGCTGCACATGGGGAGGGCCGCGCCGAGGGCAGCCGRGTGGGGGCGGGGAGGGGCCGAAGTTGCCGGGCTCAGGAGACTTTTCTCGGCATGGTCCCCGCAGCCCGCCGCGGCCCGAGCGGCCGAGGTACCCGGCCCCGGCTCGGGAGCGCTGCCCGCGTCCGTCCCGCGCCTGCTAGTGCTACCGCGCCCCGCGCCCTGCCGCGCCCCGGGCTCGCTCGTGGCCGCCGGGGCTCGCCTCCAGCGCCAGCGTGGACCCCCGGCTTTGTGTGTGTCGCTTTCGGCGTGTTTTGTCCCGGTTCAGGCTCCTCCAGAAAACGGCAGGGAGGAACGGGAGGCGGACACCATCCCCTCGCTCCACCTCCTTGACAGGGGTTTTCCTCCTTCTCCTCCCCTTTCTCCCTCCGGCGCTCCGCAGCCCTCTCTCCTCCCTCGGCCCTCCCTCTCTGTGCTCGGGTCTCCGCGTTTCGCTCTGGTGTCACATTACTGCCTTTGCTGGGGCTAGGGGGGGCGGCGATTATTCGCAACAAGGAAGAAAGTTTCTGGGTTTTTTTTTTCTTCCCCCTTTCTCTTCTATCTGGCCTCTGTTCCTGCGCCACCAGCGACCTCTTGGGGCCCGTTGACTTCCCTCTTGTAAACAGTCACCGGCAGGAAGAAGCGCGACTGATTTTACTGTATCTGTGTTTTCATTTCAGAAACTTGATTCTCCTCCTGTATCCCATGTGAGCTGTCTATGAAGGCCAATAACGGGGTGCGAAGGTACAGGTTCAAGGCTCAGCCGAGATGGTGAAAGAGCAAACGGTGTGAGTTATAATTAAACATGCCCGACAGAGCCAGGCTCAGAGCCCGGACTACCCCCAGAGAGGCGCAGAGGTCGCTTCTTGCTCTTCCTGGTTCTGCAACTTGTCTACGGCGGAGGAGAGACTAGACACAAGTGCGGGGTACACAGCGGGTTCAAGAAGGTCCTTGCCCTCGCAGATATGAAAGGGAAAGAGCCCCGTCCCCTTATATACCTCTTTTATTGCTGCCTCTTCTTCCCTTCCTGGGGAAGCTTCTGGAACCTGCTGCGGAGCATCGCAGACGCTGATCCCCTGATGGGCTGGGTGACTCACAAAGGGTTGCGCTCATCAGCCACACTTGAAGCCAGAATAATTTATCATTACATAAGAAGCTGTAACACCAGAGGTTTCGTGACTTGCCCAAGATCACAGAGATAGTAGGAGTAGGAGGCTTCTATGACTTTCCCAAGGTCACAGATAGCACGAGTTGAGTAGGGAGCCGCAGTCAAATCTATTGACCCTAAGCTCACTACACCAACCTTGCAACACTACAACCACATTGCAAGATGGCTCTCCTTGTCCTCTGCATGGGGATTGGAGGGTGAGATATAACCCATTTAGCCTAGGGCTCATTGAGAAAGAGGAACCTCAATTTTTGGTTCCTCTTGTCCCTGGGTCCCAACTCATTCTGAATTTTCCAGTAACAAACAAACTGATTAAAGGTAGAGTCAGGAGCCAAGAACCTCTGTAATTCCAAAATAGTGTTCTGAAAGCCTTTATAAAGTTGGATATCTGAAGAATTTTCTATGGAAAATTAGGGAATTTGATCCTGAGACCAAGAATTTAAAATTAAAGAATAAAGTGGCTTAACCATAGTCCATACATGAGCATCTCTGTTTCCCATTTGTAACATGGGTGGGGAAGACACAAAGACAGAGTTATTAAAGAGGTGGGCATTGTCACATGCATCCACTCAGATGTGTGCATTCACCAAATTCTGGCAATTTTACACTGTCCTGGCCCACTTTCTAAGGGATAGGAAGGCTGCTTTGGGACCCCAAGAAAAGGGAAACCTTCTTAGTTTAACACTCCCAAATAGAGTGTTAATGTTTCACGTTTATTTCATGAATCTGAGATTTATCTGGATTAATGCACACATAGAAAGGTGAATGCCCCTGAGAGAATTAAGTCAATCAGCTATTGCCCATAATGTAATCAATACAACGAATAACCCAGAAGAGATTCCCAATTAATAATTTCTGAGAGACTAGGAGATGGGAGTTGCTAAGCAATTTCCATAATGTTTTGGAGACCACCTTTGACAAACTGGGCCTGTACTTAAGGTGTGGCCCTATAACCTGAATGTTTACTAGATTTAAAACTGCAAGAACCCCTATTTTCACAAGGTCCCTCCCGCCCATGGCTTCTAGAGACTTCTCTCAGCACACTTTGGGAAACCTCCCAATTTTTTCTCCTAGGGAAAGGAATCTGAGAAACAGGGAGATGGGGCAGGAAGAAAGGAAACAAACATCTGAGAAAAATAAGTAAATATGGGAATAAAAGTCTAAAAATAAAACAGTGGAAAGGTTATGAGGAAAGTACAAGGGGGCAGAGTCCAACTCAGAAGAAACAAACTAAGACATGAAGAATTTTCAAGGGTAAAAAAAAAAAAAAAAAAGGTCAATTTTTAAAAGATTGTGTTAATAGACTAGCCGCCCAAAAAAACTCATGAAGATATCAAGATACAAAGAAGTTTCAGATGAAGAAGGAAATGCTTTGTATTTTCACCCAATAAAAACTTAGATGTTTGGGTAAAACTTTGATCTTTGAAGTCCATAAATGTCCCTTAAAATTTTTAAATTTCATCTACTTGTACTAATAAATGGTATCTCATCTGTACCAGGTAATAAATCCAATTGTAGAACTTTGCGAATAATTTTTATTATGATTTAGTAGACTTTATTCAACACCTTAACCTCCATCCAGCTCAGTGTCACGGAGATTCTCAATTCCTTGCCTCTCCAGTGACTTTTCAKCTTTGTCAACTAAGCCACTCACTTTTGTCCCCAGGGACACCCTCCTTACTAATGACAAACTGCATCTCCTCCAAAGTCATTGTCTCCAAAGTCTCCTTTTCAACCACCCCTCCCTCAATATCTGGCTGTATGTCCTTCCTATAGCTTCGMTAATGCCCACCCTAGCAATTTCAGTTTCAAGAACCCTCAATTCTTGTCCTTGACCAAACATCTTATCCTGAGTGTTCACTTGCTTCTCTTTCCAATTTCAATTGCTGATCCACCGTTCTAATCCCTTTTGGCAAACCCCCTTCATTTCCTTATATGCTACAGCACTTTCTGGCAAAATTCAGGCTCTATTAAACTGGACTTTGCACCAAACACGCAGAGTTAACCCCAAAACACGCAGCATTGCCAACTGGCTTCTGTTTGGGAAGCACAAAAGGCCAATGGACACATATCAATGCTGTCTGGCCATTCCACCCTGACGTGACTATTCCGCAGCATTTCTCTCTTCAAACCCACCCGTCTCCACCCTCTGCTCATCCCTTCAGTCTCTGCTGACATCCTTGACTCATATTTTATTGAGAACGTAAAAGCAGCAGGACAGGCGCTCACTCATTTCCTCCAGTCTGTCCCGTGCTCTGTGCCTTTCTTCTAGTCTCACTGTCCCCACTGCAGTCAGCTCTGCCACTTACACTCTAAACTGTTTCCACCCAGGCCCGGCCTCACACCCAAGCCCCCCTTCACTTCTGCATCTCTGTAAAGCGTGGCACTGTCAAGTCACTTGGGCCTAAACTTAAACATCTTTTTTCTTTATTTTCCCTCTTCCTTCACTCCTGTATCTAAACCATCAACAAACTCTATGGGAGCTACTTTTTTTTTTTTTTTTTTTTTTTAAAAACAAAAAACCCAGAGCCTGATCTTCTCTGCTACCACCATCTTCGCTCACCAGATCATTGCTATGACGTTGTGTGTTAGTTACATTTAGATTTTACTGTACACACTGATAAAACAAAAATGACAGTGGCTTAAGCAAAATAGGAGTTTGTTTCTCCCTCACATAAATGAGTCCACAAATAGGTAGTCCATAGCTGTTCTGGAATTCCCATACCAACATTCCAGACCTACCCAAGCTTCCTGTTCCAGCATCCTAACCTTCCATTTTAAAGGCTACCTTATGGTACAAGATAGCCACTAGAGCTCCAGCCATTATGTTTATGTTCCAGGCTGTCAGCAAAAAGAAACAAAAGAAATGTCCTCCTCCTGGCAGAATAGGCTGTCCTTAATTAGCGTTCCAAAAACTGCCATGAATCCTTTTTCTTATACTTCATCTGCCAGAACTATGTCTAGTTGTAAGCAGGGAGGGGACTAGGAAATGTGCAGTTTAACTGAGTACACTGCTGTGAAGAAGGAGGAGATCAGAGCTCTCCCTACGACGAAAGGGTAGATGGCCCTTAGGTGGCATCGAGCAGTCTCTGTTGTTTCTCCTAATGGATCTCCCTGTTTATGCCCTTCTGCTCTATGTTCTGTCCTCCTCACAGCAGCCAAAATATAACTTTTCAAAACTGTAGCTTCTCAAAACTTGCTCATGGTTACTGATACATTCAGAGTGAACCAAACTCCTACAGCCATGTCGAGGTGTGGAACAAGCTGGTCCCCCTGACCCTTGGCCTCATCTGTCCCCTTTCCCTCCTCACTCCACCCATCATTGTTCATCCAACCAAGCTCACCTCTCTGTCAAGACCTTGGCATTCTTGAGGAGATAAGGCACAAACACTTCATCAGGAAAACAAATAAAGCATTAAACAAAATGTTCTTTAGAATCTCAAGTGTGTTCCGATTAATAATCATTGCTACACTGCGCTCGTATTGCTCTGTTTCTAGCATGTTCTATTCACTGTGCCTGRACTAAGTTATTTAATCCTCACATAATCTCAGGCTACACATTCTGTTATCCCTTTGCTTTACAGATGAGGAAATAGGCACCATGAATGATAGACGTCAGCTGATGATCACTAGGAGAGACCTGTTCCAGAAAGGCTCCCCAGAAGAGGGGGCAGGATTCACAGCTGAGCGAAGCCCAGAGGCATACCATGTACCAGGAACTGATTAGAAAGGGCACAAAGTTGGGAAGATGTGTTTGAGGAACAGTGGGTCMGGCCTGG